GGTGGTGGTGGTGGCCATGCAATTCCCTCTCCTCCATTCTTCTTCCAGGATCTTGGGCACACTTGCACATGGGCCCCGCTTGAGTTTCAAGCCACGAGTTCCTGGACTCAAACTGCAGTCAGCCATGTGGGAGTCCAGTGACATAACTGCTATGCCATCTGCTGGCTGTGAAATTGAGTATTTTAATTAAAAAAAAAATGTATTTGTTACTTCTTCCCTTGTATTTGTAATTCATGGCCCATGAAGCAAAACTAAAATGCTCTCCAACTATAGATAAATGCAAGAGCTGGGGACTAGCAGAAGGTGTAAAGGGTACTTCGCTAGACTCCCAAGTAGTCAACCGCAGTTCGAGTTCCAGACCTGGTGGCTTAAACTCATGCCAGGCGCATGTGCGTGTGTGCCCAAGATCTCGAGAGGATAATGGAGAATAAGGGATTGTGGTGTGGCCATCACCCCTGGGTGGTGATTTCTCGCTTTCTGTCTCTCTGTCTCTCTCTTTCTGCCAAGCACACATGCCCTATGGCAGAAACAACTTCTTCAAAAAAAAAGATAAATGTAAGAGCTGATTATACCTTCATACTTTCCTATCACACATACTTCCAATACTCTCTCTCCCCAACCCAAGGGGAATCAAAAGGGTTTAACACAAATTAAAGCCAGAGGTTACAGTTTCTTGAAGCCAAAGAAGATCCAGAAGAAGACTTTAAATTCAAATCTCACCTTTGATGCTTACTGTTGGGAGATTGTAAAAGCATTTTACCTCTCTGGACCTTCATTTTCTAGGTAACCAATGGAGAAAATACCTACTTTACATAGTTAAGATGATAGAACATGTTAAATTAGCATATCTTAAGAATTTAGCATAATTCCTGAGTATTCCAAAAATATTAGTATTTTTCTTCTATCTTTCTATTCCTTCTATTATTACTTTTAATTGTTAACCACAGTTTCCTCCTACGAAAAAAATCTGAAGACAATAAAGATAAAAGTTTGCCTCTTGTCCAGTTTCCTACCATAAACAGAATAAAGATACTTGAGACTACTAGCACGTTTTTCTGGCACGTTTACAAATTACACTGTGAGAAAACACGTGCTTCTAAAAAATTATGATTCATAGATCAGTCAGTCTACAGTTGAGGGTGTAGCAGTTTGTGATTGATTTCTTATTCTTTAGTAAAATAATTAAAGAGAATTAAAAGTTGAGAATTAATAAATTTTTAGTAAGAAAATTACTAAAACTAAGAGAAATGACCCTATACACAAGTACTTGTATTTGGGTCAGAAAAAACAACATTACATGGTGATGCTTTATGTCATTAAGGAAGAAAAGAGTAACTTATATTCTGATGTAGAACAGTTCTGAAATGAGAGGAGGAGAAACATAGGACAAAACGTGGATGGGATCAAAAAGCTGTAGATTTGTGGAAGACAAATAATGAGAAAAAAACTTATGTGTCATTAAACTGTCTAAGATTAGACTTGAATTATTTACAACTTTTACTAAAAATTGAGCATTATATCAAAAACACACTGATAAAAAAATGGAATTTGGTCCCCTCTGTTAAAACAACAAGAATTTTTCAAAGTATTTATCTGCCTGTAATAGAAAATTGTGAGAGATCTTTTGTTATCTTATAGATAATACGCTTAAAAGATCCTATGTTTTGCAATTTCCTATACCTCACATAGTCTTTATTAGTGTTTTCTATCATGTAAGAAAATCGTTTCCTCTACAGAAACAGCTGAACTATTTTCATAACTATATAACTTTCTATATTTGCCTTAACGTCTTTTAATTATCACTTTGATTAAATGAATATTATTCACAGTGACTTGTGATCCTATTTTTTTATTTATACATTTAATCACTATACATAATTTAGATTGTAAAAAGACTTTACCCAGCACAATATACACCTCTGTCCAACCCAGTTGAGAATCCTATACACGTCCTCATCAACAAATAACAAACCATATCCATGTCCCACAAATGTCTTACCTCTCTATTTTTTCCCCCAAATTTCCTTTCCTATGCTCTTCCCCTCCCACACTCCTTCCACTTTGTCTCTAGTGTCCATAAAAATTTTTACTGCTTTTATGTTCTCCAGTCTTTCAGTCTCTACCATAGGGTGCAGGTGCTTGGTATATGTTAAGTGGAGACATACAATGTCTCTTTTTCATAGCCTGACTTGCTTCACTCAGTAACAAATCTTCCTTAATTGTCCACTTTCTATCAAATTTCAGGCCTTATCGTTTCTTATGGCTGAGTAGTATCCCATGGAGAATATGTACCACACTTTTTCAATCCATTTGTCTGTTTGTGGACATTTGGGTTGGTTCCATGTCTTAGCAATCATGAATAAGGCTGCAAGAAATATAGATGTGCAAGCACTTTTTCTTTTTTTTTGGAGAGGCTTTTTCGCTATAGGGTGTGTACACTCTCCAGACAGAGAGAGACAGAGCGATAGAAAGGCAGAAATCACCCCCCAGGGGAGATGGCCACACCACAATCCCTTCTCCATCCTCCTCTCTGGATCTTGGGCATGCACGCACACATGTCTGGTGTTTTAAGCTACTGGGTTCAGGACTTGAACCGCGGTTGACTACATGGGAGTCCAGCGACATAGTCATTAGGCTAACTGCTGGTCCCGCAAGCACTTTTTTGACTGAACATTCTCCTGTCCTTTGAGTAGATACCCATGAGTGGAATCGCTGGATCATATGATAGTTCTATTTGAAGGTCTTTGAAGAACCTCCATTTGTTCTCCACAGTGGCTGGGCCAATTTACATTCCCACCAACAGTGTAGGAGTGTTCCCCTTTCACCATATCCCCTCCAGCACTTCTCAGTTTTTGTTTTTTTATCTTCTCCATTCTGACTGGGGTTAGATAGTATCTCATTGTGGTTTCGATCTGCATCTCCCTTATGATGAGAAATGTTGAGCATTTCTTCATATGTTTTTTGGCTGTTCTTATGTCTTGTTTATTCTTATGTTCTTGTTTATTCAACTCATTTTCCCATCTTTTAACTGGGTTAATCTTTTTCT